TTCATTCATTCATTCATTCATTCATTCATTCATTCATTCATTCATTCATTCATTCAACCAGCCAGTCAGTCAGCCAGCCAGCCAGCCAGCCAGCTAGTCAGCCAGCCAGTCAGTCAGTCAGTCAGTCAGCCGGTTAGTAAGTCATTTCTTTCTTTTTTTTTTGTGAACAAATACAGTCGAAATCATATGCCAAGAATTAACCAATTGCTTTTACTGTTTACATCAAGCTAGTAGGAGCTTACAGGTCCGATACAGTAATGCCTCTTCATTGTATTTATCAAGCTTTATCAATTTCTTCTTGTTCACAGCCTTAGATCCTGCTGGATCTCTTTTTAGGAAAAATGACCTCCGGTTTCGTTTGGACCCAGGTGACGCCGCGTATGTCGACGTTATACATACCAGTCTGCTGGGCATCGGAAAAAGCCAAACGAACGGGCACACGGAGTTTATCCCAAATGGTGGCAAGAAACAAAACGGTTGCAGCATACTAAGTAAGCGAATCCTTTGTTAGGGCAGAGTACAACGTTTGGAGATGAACTGAACGCCCGCTCATCCAAAAATATGTGGAGGTGCGGTGGCCTAGTGGTTAGGGCGCTAGAATCTGGAGCGCGCGGTCCGGGTTCGAGCCCTGGCTGCGGACACTGTGTTGTGTTCTTCGGCAACACTTAACTCTCACAGTTCTTCTCTCCAGCCAGGTTTTATGCTGGGGGGTAGCCCTAAGATGGATCGAGGACCAACCTGGGGGGTAGAAATATCCCTTCTCGCCTCATGCTTCAGAAACCGGCATAAGCACCCACCTGATGGGCCGCTTGGTTCGTATGCAGACTTTTTCCTTTTTACCATCCAAATATTTTGTAGTGAAACGCACTTACAATTAGGCTATTTTGCAAGAGCAGCCTGCTTCCAATGCATATTCTCTCATGCATTAATACCGACCTCTTTTTGCCCTGGAATTTGAAATAGCTCCTCGCTGCGTGTTTGACGATCATAAATTACACAGCCCTTGCTAAACGCTTTGCAGAAAGTGCACATTTACATGTTATGTACATTGTTTACTGTTTTCAGTCATACATTTATTGGTCATAAATGACTTTCTCCAGCAGCAGTTGTTCGTCGATTAGCAGTCAGTTCACCTGATGCAAATGATTTCTTTTCAGTGCTCGTACTGTAATCTGGTATTCGGCCAGGCCGGTGCCAATAATGTCTTACTGCAAGACTATCCCTACCTAGGTATAGGTTAATTCCCTGAGCTTATCCCTACAGGCCCGGGTTCTTCGAAAGGTGGATAACGCTCTCCACCGGATAAATCACTATCCAGCGGATAGTGTAATTTGTTTGGCAACCTACTTTACTTCTCTTAGTGCGCTTGTGTGTACTTTTTTCGTTTCTTTCGTCCGTTGCTTTTGCGCATTTGCGCGTTTAGTTTTTCTTAACTACTGTTAATCCTAAATTGTGATCAATGACAATGACAGCATTTTTATTCTTTTGTTAAGTCTTAGGTATCTTTAAGGTAGGCCTTTACATAAGCCTCATTAGCTTCCCTGCGCTTCCTTGCCTTTTAAATTGATATGTTGACTTGTTAATATATTTACAGATGGCAAAAATGAAACAAGAACAAGAACAAGCACACTTATACACTAGATAGCGATTTATCTGGTGGATAGCGTTATTCAGCCATCGGACAACTGAGGCTAGGAGGACACCGTTTTTGTTGTGGCAATCATAATTTAAATAGCCAGGAATGAACAATGACCCGAGTTTTTTCACTTTACACAGACTTATCCTGTAGCCACAGAAGAGCTTATGAATTCTACATCGCCTCGGTACAAAACCTTTGTTCCTGGAAAGCATATCCATGCAGAAGCTTCTCTGACTTTGAAGACGGAAAGTGCAAAACGTGTAATGGCGCATGCCCAACTATGGGGTATGGTGCTGACCTCACCAAACGCGTTGGTTATTTTTTTCTGAGAACAAACAGTGCACTTCCATTCTGTGGTGAGTATATTTAACAATTAGATTATTCACTCTCGATTTCTATCGTGTGATAGTTGACAAGGGCGCAGCCCGAGTCAACTATCACACATAGAAATCGAGAGCGAATAATCTAACTGTTTTGGTACAAATCTAAAAGTTGTTTAAAGCTTTATCTAAATTCTCTTTCACAGACACTTTGAAAACGCAAAGAGGTGATTGCCAGTTTGTTAACAAGCGTTCAATGCTACGCTACTCACTATCTTCAAGACAATAGATAGTGAGCAGCGTAGCCAATCAGAGAGCAGCATTCGTGATAGAACGCTAATAGGTCTACGTTAAATAAGCATGGAGTTTGAGGAGCAGGGATGGCGCACTGGTGACAGCGCTCCCCTCCCACCAGTGTGGCCCGAGTTCGATTCCGACCCAGTGTCATGTGTGGGTCGAGTTTGTTGTTGGTTCTCGCCTTGCTCCGAGGGTTTTTCTCTGGGTTCACCGGTTTTCCAACCTTCACAAAAACCAACATCTCTAAATTCCAATTCAACCAGGATAGAGGACCAGCATGAAAACCAGGTAAGGGGTGATGCGGCTTTACCTCTAAATATTTTTATTTATTCATTCATTTATTTTTTCTTTATCTATAAAACAAACAGCGCAGCTCCATTCTGCGGTGAGTGCGCCTTTCGTGTTATGTTGGATGTTCCCTCAAGGACATTTTATTGTGCTTTTTCTTTTTCCAGAATTTTAGTTTTTGTTTTTTTTTTTTATCTTGTTTCTATCTAAAGGAATAGCATCTTTGGGCGGCCTTCTCAAACAATGAACGCGTATGGGAGGTTTCCTTGAAAGATTTGAAGAATAGAGAAAGAAGAGAAGAAAAGAGTGTTAAGAATAATTAGTTTGCTGTTTGGTTATGTATAACTTTTTTTCTCTCTTCCGTTATTTTTACTTAGGATCGAGTTAAAGCTCAGTGAGGGGTTACTCAGAGTCAAAGTGAGTGAATGACTTCAAGTGGTGTGATGCACTCAAGAGGATGTGTTTCTAGATATCCCTATGATTAAAATAAGAAGTCAAAACCTTTCTACCGTCTAATTTTTTGAGTTTGGCAAGTCCTTGAAAACCTGAGGTCATTTTGCACCCGTCAATATTCCCAGGCAGAAATATGGTGTTTTATATACTGGTGAATATGACTTTCTTTGGAATATTACACCCATTCGGGATTTAGATCAGGTATATGTTATGAGGGTGCCATACTTGTGATCGGAAAAAGATTGTAATAGTTTTAACTGTTTCGTTGGTGAAAGAAAAGAAGACCGATGCAAATGACCCTCTGTATTCAAACTCTTACACGTCAGCGGAGGGAAAATCCTGGCTTATTTTAGCTCAGATATTTCTTTGGCTGAACTATCAGCAGCCGTCATTATATTGATGGATGGGAGCAAACAATTTGAATACTTTCGGATACGTTTTACTAAAACGAAATACGATCCCAATAATTTTTTTTTGTATTCGAATGTCGCGCTACTTCTGAGGGGAAAAATTTCGCATGTTTGTGAAATTTCTCATGATAACATAACAAATATGCGCGCTATTGTAATGCGCGAGAAAGCGATTTGGTTGATCACATATCATGACCATTGATGATCGAGTATGTGTCTATTTGCGTAGGTTTCACTCTGTCTGGATTCTAAGGTTGCATTTACCTCTTCCTCTTTCCTCAGAGAATATGGAGCACCATCTTCTATTTGGTAAATACCTACTACATAGGGCTTGCAGCTGTTCACATATTTTGTTATTTTGTGTGCGAAACCACTACCAACGCAAACAAATGTTTATGAAAAACTCTCAATGTTAGGGACGTTTTTACTAATACAACCAAGCAAAAACAGCTAATTAGAATTCAGAAAAAAAGACATAGTTTGCTTTAGTCGGAAAACCCATAACTACGTGTATCTTAATTTTTGTTCATAAAGTAAAAAGAGGCTGTTTACTTTACCTATGTCAAGAAAACTCATTTCATAACCGACCTTTTTTAATATACAAAAGCGCTAAAACCGTGGCTGACTATTGTAGTACACAGAAATGTAAAACGTATCTTATTACGAATTATGGGGATTTAAAGTTGTTTGAAACAACAGTTATCTCCTTTTTCCCTTGTTTCGAATTCGGCAGACGAAAGAATACCGACATTTTTGAAGTGATTTCTTCCACTTTTCTTAATATAATTTTGCTGACTTTTTTTGGGTCAGACATTCAATTGCTTGCTATCGTGTAAGGCAGACAGCATTGAAAGGGTGTAAATATTTTTGATAATATTTTTATATATTTAGTGAAGCAAAATTAAAGTTGACCCCCAATGAATTTTCTTTATTGGATTTCCACAGAGAATCATTTTGCATGTTTGTGAAGTTTCTCCTGATTCCATAGTAATACGACTACGATAATTTTTTTACGAAATTGCCAAGTCTTTCGTCGTGCGGGATAATTGAACGAAGAAGACCTAAGGTAGGAGCGTACATTAGGAGAATACCTATGGCAGCATTTTCAGTTTCACAGCAGATTGTGGTTTCCTATATTTAACATTCGCAAATCTTGTCTTATCACACTTATAGAAAAGTGATCTCGCTTTAGGGTATTATTAACAGTGTGAGTGCAATAATATAAATTCTGAGATGATTTTTGATTGGTCTGTTCGAAGCACATGATTCGCAAAATCGTCAAAACACCTAGCCACGCAATAAGTAATTTAATTATCAACAATATCTTGCCGGACTCAAAGCATCAAGAAGGACAATGTTCAGGAAGGGAGTTATCGCCCTGCTTATGATACTGACTGCCCAAACACGAGGTTTGTATTGCCTCACATGAATTCTTGCGGTATATAGTTGTGGAGCAGTGATGGTGCAGTGGTGAGAGCGCTTGCATCCCACCAGTGCGGCCCGGGACTTGATTCCAATTCCATATGTGGATCGAGTCTGTTGTTGGTTCTCGCCTTGCTCCGAGGGCTTTTCTCCGGATTCTCCGATTTTCCTTCCTCCACAGAAACCAACTTTCTAATTCGACCAGGATATAGAGGAGCAGCGTGAAAACCAGCTACGGCCGCTGTGGCTTTTCCTCTAATTACTGAAATTTATTTATTCGTGTAGTTTCAATGAGGTTGTTTCGGCTTAAAGTTGCATTTAGGATTCGTTAAAAGTCCCAATAACAAAAGTGTGAATAACTTGAATTCTAAAGACAGACAGTCAGGAAGACGTTGTAAATTTTGGTCTAGTTCAAGTTGCAAATTGGACCAGCTTTAGTTAGAAAATATGTATGATCAGTGACTAAAACAACATCCGTTTCAGGTCCAAAAGTGAGTCCGACTTAAATAGCGGTTCTATGTGGGGGTTATGGAAATTAAGTTAATCAATTAAATTTTCAGTGATTTCTAAGTTATCAGTGAAAATTTCCGCACGTTTCACAGCCGTTAGTAAGTTTTGCAAATCTCAAATCAGCTAAAAAGCCCATCATTTCTCTGCTGACTAATAATTACAGTTTTGACCGTTCTAAATACCACATTCCATGCACTAATGTATGTATCTATGGTAGCCGGATAATTACATAATAGATCGTTCAGTGAAAATTTTGACCAGTTTTCAGCAATTAGTTAAACCTCGCGATCTAGAAGTTGTATCTTGAACAATGCTGTGCTGAGGCCTATTCAGCAGCTGTTCTGAATGTTCACTTCATCATTAAACAGTTTCGCGTCGGAAAGTTGAAATAAGAAAATTTGTATAACAGTACTAGTTGTGAAAATGCCAACCATCGGCGAAACAGCTGTATGGCAAAGCTTACTTTTTGGACGTCAAACACTTCACGAGCTCGAAATATTGGTCCGCTCAAGACATCAGTGAGTCTGACTAAATTTGTGTGCGTTTGAAAATATTTAATGATCCCAACACTGCCTCCTGAGTTTAATAGCTTAGTATTGGTCTCGTTATTAAGATTTTCGTTAAATTTGCAGATCGCCCTTTTTCACTAGTTTCGTTTATTTTCCGTGATTTATAGTTTTTCTGTATGGATATTACCTTCGTTATTCTCACAAGAAAAGGTATTTTCGTCAGATTTTTCTGGCTATACTGCATTGAATAATTCGCTCAAATCATTTGCATAGAATTGCTATTTGGCCGCGGATGCTCTTAATTTTTTCAGTAAGAATATCGTTTTTCCGACCGAGGCTGAATATTCTTATTTTTCTGCCGATTTTAGGCTGAAAATATTTTTGTGAATATTCTTAGATTATAGCGTTTGACATTTCTGCTTTTGAATGTTTTTGGTGTCTGGATGATGTTAAAGCATTTGGAGCCAGCCTGCAGGCATAGAAGCCTAATATGATGTACATAACTTCTTGCAGAAACGCTACTAGCATCGAACATGCGGCTTAAGTGCTGTTGTTTTTTGCTTTTTGGCTAGTCCTGCCATTTAGGGGAGGGTGGAATTTTATAAGGTTTAGTTAAAAACATATAATTGTGTTGTATTTTCAAAATTTCAACACAAAAAAAGTATATTCTTTTCAAAATCTCAGCCTCGGGTTTATTATTAATATTTCGCAAATTTCAGCTTCAGTACTTGTTGGTGATTGTCCGCGTTTCTTTAACGAAACTCTAAAAAGCTTTAAAGTGTTTTCTTTTAAAGTTTTAAAACGAGTTTTACTAAAGTATTTAACAACTGAAACTGAAAATACCACGCTTTTTTGTCTGGGATCAGAGCGCGATATTGTCCGAACCTTCTGAACTTACGAACATGCTATAAACTAAATGCGATTTTGGGACGGCATTCATTACCATATTATATTGGCGGCTCCCTGGTCAGTGGGAAATATATTTTCTTCCAACGTATTGTTCCTCCCAGCCCCGGGCCAAGGTTACTCAGACTTGACACAACATTTTGCTTGTGGGAGTGGGGGGTTTCTATAGATTTCACTCGTTTAATTTTACTTGCGAGGGTGCGGTGGGGATTTGACTCGTGCCCAGTTTTCGAGCGATTGGTACAGGACATTGTGACAAGT